AGTATACACACTGCAGTATACACACACAGAGCACTGCAGTATACACACTGCAGTATACATACAGAGCACTTCAGTACACACACACAGCACTGAAGTATACACACTGCAGTATACACACACATGCAGTACTGTAGTACACACACTGAAGCATACACACTGCAGTATACTCACACAGCACTGCAGTATACACACTGCAGTATACACACAGAGAGCACTGAAGTATACACACTGCAGTATACACACAGAGCACTGCAGTATACTCACACAGCACTGCAGTATACACATAGAGCACTTCAGTATACACACACACATAGCACTGTAATATTCACACTGCAGTATACCCACACACAGCACTGCAGTATACACACTGCAGTATACACACACACAGAGCACTGCAGTATACACACTGCAGTATACACACACACAGAGCACTGCAGTATACACACTGCAGTATACACACACACAGCGCTGCAGTGTACACACACACCAGAGCACCGCAGTATACATACACAGAGCAGTATACACACAAAGGAGCAAAGTCCTGTAATACAACACAAAGTATGTCTGTATCAGGAACCCCGCAGTTTGAAATCCATCCAGTGTCTGTGCACCACAACGAGTGTGAAATCAATCCATGAAGTGATGGATTCTAGCACAAAAGTGACTTCTAGAACAACAGACATTTTCCTGAAAGGAGCCAAGGTATCAACACGTGGCTGGGCAGCTTGTTCCACTCTCCCATAACCCTCTGTGTAAACAGCCTCCTGTCCTCCGCTGGACATGTGGTATTCCAGAGGACTAAGAGGCGTAGGCCTATCTCACTGCGCTGCTCTTAGTGTAAGTCTGATCCACAAGAACCGGACCAACTGGGTCACAATCACCAGCCCGATCTGGGTGTGAACTACAAGCAGGAACCAGCCTGACCCGGGTCAGGCCCACAGGAGCAGCCCGACCTGCTTGTCCCTGTCTGAGAGTGCGTCAGCGCCTGTCAGTGGGATGTAATAACAGACACCAGACTGGAATTACAGATCCTGCAGGCAGCAGCCAGCAAACACGTTCAACCACAGGCCTGACCAGAGGGGCTGAGTGACCACTGGACATCCGGGGAAACACAGAGGGCGAGCGGCCACTGGACACAGAGAGAGTAACTGTCTCACACTCTCATGCTCACTCTCTGTGTCACACACAGATAATACCAGCAGCTGACACAAGCACAGAGATAACACAAAAATTCCATAGATAATAAACAC